GCCTGGGTAACGTTTCAAACGTTACTCCAGCAAAATTTGTTTTTCTCAAATAACTTAAAAATTACAATTCAAACAAATTTTGCTATTAGTAAACAAATTGCTCCTCATGATACACTAATTATTTGTTTAAGTCTCATCTCTCTAAAGCAAAACATTTTGCCTGGGTAACGCACACTAAAAAACAATAAAAGCAAAAAAGATAAAAATGGTTTTTTAAATTGTTTTTATACCAAATAAAAGAGCAACAAGGTGGAACATTCCCATGACAAAAGAGCTTGCCAAAAATACCAAGAACCGCTTATTTACAAACTTTCGTACTTTCTAAACGAGAGATCTATAAATTGCATTATTTTGCAGCCATATTTCCCGCAAAGTCTATTTGCGGCAAAATATTGCGTCATATTCATAATTATTGCGAGGATATATTTGTAAAGCCCATTAAAATTATTTTTAAGTTTTTATGTTCCTACATAGGTACATAACACATGCACAAACAAGATCAAGGTTCTTTATAGTTTTATATCTTATAATTTTATTATAGCTGAAGAGTTTGTTTGTTCGTTTGTTTGAACGCACTAATCTCCTGAACTATGTATTTGCAATTGTTGGAATTGAATAATTTTTCGAGTTGGATAGTCCATTTACCGAGGAAGCGCACGCTACGACCAATAAGAGCCGAACAGACGAGTGAAATAGTGCGGAAGTAGCTAGTGTTAATGAAAAATCATGATGTTCGTATGTGTATTAAAAAGTAGAAAATATAGGGGATGATACCTTTTCACGGAAAAAAGATCAGATTTATTTTAGAATTTTGGCGCACGGATGGACCATGACCTGGATAACATAACACACAAATCTTTTTTATCCCCGTTACGTGGGCGCACACGCTGTGACGCTGCTAGCACTGTATTTTGCACTAGGTAGGTATATGGTGCCCAATAACCTTTACATGGATGAGACCTGCAGACTTGTGAGATTGTTTGTGTCTTGTCAACTGTAGACTGTACTACTAATAAATAAAATCTCCCGATCGATTCTGAAATTCCGATCACAGTGATAATCTACTGCAGTCTAATTAGTTAGACAGACAGCCCACTACGCAAATATTATAGTGCAGAATACAAGTACACTCTCTGTTCCCTCACCGTCTTCTCTCTGGTACGACGGGGAATAGGTCAAGCGCAGAATTTATGGTACCTGTACGTGCCCGAGCCCGAATTTCCCGAGTTGAGAAATATGTCATGATTATAATATAAGATATTACTGTTCAAATAATGACAACGAGAACGATCTACGTCGCGTCGCGGTCATTGAGCCAATTGTGCTTTACGCTGCGAATGTATGGGCCCCAGTGACGAAGCTGTAGTTGATTAAAAAACAACTAAATGCTCTCCAAAGGGGATTCGCACAAAAGATCTGTAGAGCTTATCGCACAGTGTCGCTCACGTCAGCAACAGTTTTGTCAGGTACAATCCCACTTGACCTAAAAACTCAGGAGAGTGCTAGTTTGTATCAAACTAAAAGAGGATTCTCTCTGGACTATCTGCCACCGGAAAAGGAGCTCAAAAGAGATGTACCTTACCTGGACCAGCCACATCCCTCAAAGCTAATTTCAGTAAATTATGAGCTCCTGGAGAATGACGGCTCGGGATCTCCTCTCGCCAGCGTAGTTGCCGGTCCTCATATATATACAGATGGCAGCAGAATCGATGGAGGAGTCGGTTCTGCCTTAAGTTGGTGAGAAGGGGGCGCGACACGGCGTTTTCCACCTTTAGTCTGGACTCTTCCTGCACAGTTTTTCAATCTGAACTGTATGCGCTGTATAGAGCCACCAAAATGGTGAAAGACAGTAAAGAGAGTAGAGTAAATATTATGAGTGACTCTAGATCCTCCCTCGATGTCTTAAAAAACCCCAAGGTGAGCCACCAGTTAGCCAAAGAAATAAAACAGTATATTGGAGCCAAGCAGTGAGCGAGTTTCCACTTGCAACGACGGCTGATCCACGGATTACAATTAAGAAGCGGGAAATTCTCCTTTACGGAGAGCACGGTGCCAAAGTAATACGTATTCGGGGAGTTGCTTTGTTCATGAGCACCAGCAGCGAAAGACTGGGGATCGCCGTCTGCAATATCGCTCATCAGAAATGGCTCACAATCTCGCCGGGCCTCGTCTTCTTGTTAAATAGCAGCACCTTCAAAACAAGCATGAGGCGCAAACTTTATGAAGCACTGCCAGAAACAAAACTGGTCGGTCAAAGCTGTCGATTGTTGCGGACGCGCAATAAAACAATCGCAATGTTTTCTGGCAACAATACGACAACCTGTTTTGAACAGGCATGCAAGGTGCTGACCAGTATAGGTAAGTGGGGTAAAGTAGAGAGTTATAGAATTATCAGCGTGGATGCTATTGTGGTGGCTTTTCAGAAGGGAGAGACAGCGGATCTCATGGGCTGTATTCAAGCTTCAGAACAGAGTGAAGTCATCGTTTATGAGGACAGGGGTGAAGACCTTAGTTTCCTCAGAAAAACGGTACAGGGTTTACCAAACGCTGGCTCTCCAAGTGTTTCGGAGCATCTGCAGCACAGGTATTCGGAACAAAGAGCTCTACAGCAACAGCAACAAAACACCGAAAGACCAATAAATAAAAAAAATTCACGGACCAACATGTGGGCATTAACATCAGCCATATGTACAGCTGCGGGTCTCATTTCGTCGCCTTTCAGAAGGAATGAATACGGATCCACTCGCGGGGGAGGCGACAGCGCTCGGGTGCATCCTGCCTAGTAGTGCCCAGTCCAGGTCACCTCCAACAAAAGAAGCCATGGGTCACGTGCCTCCGCCGAAGTTTCGCCATGCCACCACTCCCAGAGACCACCTCATAAACGCCTTCCTCGAGTTTGTCGCAGTAATAGACGCAACAAAACAAGTCAACTTGCGAACTTGCAAAACGATCCTTTAGACATACCTGCAGGGTAACGTCAACGAGCTGTTACTGAATGATAGACTCGAGGCAGCGGAGACAGTCATATACGACAACAGCAAATCGAGAGTATTGAGAAGAGCTTCTAAAAGTCGTAGTATGGCAGCTTACAACGCCACCGCAGGATTTGTGTCTCTGGATGAGCAGCAATCGGATAAACGGTGAGTTGTGAAATTTGAAACTACTCCTGAAGACTCCTTAGTGGTTGTTGCCAGGTGCACCAGGATTATGTTGGAGGGTGAGATCTTGGAAATGGTAGGATCGGCGGCAGCGGCGTGGACTTTGGGGGCTGGGATGCCCGACATTTCACTGGACAAATGGAGTGCCGGGATGCGGCAAAACTACATGGATAATAAATGAATTCGAAGCGGAAAGGGATTTAATAGTCACCACAACAACTGAAGCAGCAAATGACCTCAGAGACAAACTATCCTACCGAATCGGAGGATTATTCAAACCCCAAAGTCCGAACAATGGTGTTGCACGGTTGGTGCGGTGGCTGGGCAACCGGCTGCCGTGCAACGTGTCGCGGGTTCGATTCCCGCACGGAACAACACTTTGTGTGGTCCACAAAGTGTTGTTTCGGGTCTGGGTGTCATGTGTATGTCAACTTGTATGTTTGTAAACGCACCCTGGGGCAACGTCTTTATAAAAAAAAAAAAAAAAACAATGGCGCCCATTATAATGAACGGATTAAAAGAGCAAGAGAGCTGCCTCCGAATCATGGTACATGAGGCTCTGGTGAATCACTTTGGGGCCATTGTGATGGCAGCCCGAATAACTCACGCCAAAGAAGTTCTGCTGATTGGTGACATAAATCGACTTCCCTTCATTGATCGCCACAACCTCTTCCCCCTCATTTACAACTGCCCTACACATATCGTGACTATTAGCCAAAAACTTGTCTGCACTCACAGAAACCCTATGGATGTGGCATTTGCTCTTAGTATTGTGTACGTTGGGTGTCCCTTGAGTTAAAAAGCTTCTCAGGGTCGCGGATAGCCAAATTTCTTCCGAACACATTATACCTGGTACACACTCAGGTAGAAAAGGAATCCCTTAAAAACCAGGGATACGAATCGGGTGTGGGATCACGCGTACTCACAATACAGGAAGCTCAGGGGCTTTCGTACTCGGCAGTGGTTCTTGTGAACACAGCGGAGAAGAAACAGCGGATACACGACAGTGTACCGCACGCCGTGGTAGCTATATCCCGGCACACTAACACCTGTGTTTACTACACGAATACCAGTGACGACGCGATCAGCAAATTAATCAGACAGGCGGTGCGTGAGAGTGGGCAGGGGATCCTGGATCATGGAGCAGGACGGCTCACTCATCGCGCGGGTGGGCCGATCCAGTAGGATCAATGTAAATGTAATAAAACATGTATTGTGTATATAGATAGTAGACACAACCTTCTTTATGAAAAAAAATTTGGGTAATGCAGCATATAAGACTTTTGTAACAATTAATTTTGACTGCAAAATAAAAGAAAATGTAATTGAATGACAAGGGCACGGACAAGTGTCCGTGGCGAAAAAGAAATGTATCATAAAAAAAAAAAAATGTCAAGTTAATTGCTGGGTTGGAGCCGCGCTTGTCAAGTGTGCTATGGCTATGACCTTTACTCGTTTTGCTACTAGCTATGGGTATAATTAATAGTAGCGAGAAGTAATGAGTGCAGTCAGTAATGACTAATTTGTAGTGAGAGGTCGGTGATACTGAATTATGTACTGACCGGTGCGCAGCTCGTGATACCGCTTCCGCCGTAGAAGAACTCCCGATCATACACCACAACGGCAGTGTGCCAGACTCCCTCGATCTGACGCCCTGTAAAAGGATTCAATTATGTACAAAATATTACCACTACACAGTACACTTCTTTAAATGGAAAATTATGACTTCCTCCGGCTGGATGAGGCGGGAGAGAATGTCAGACTCTTTATACTGACTAAAATCCACCCCGTTCCTACTTCTGCCCTTCAAAACGGAACACCGGCAACCCGGTAAGTCCTCAGTGGCTCCGTATCGGCATCAGCCATATTGGGCCCCTTCCGTAGTTGGTTTGGTTCTGGTGGGGCGGCGAGCCACCCTTGCTCCCCGTCCGCAGGCCCGTGCTTACGGTGGCCGGAGATCGTACCGCAATCCCCGACGCCCGGAATAAAGTGCGACGCGCCTCGCGACGGTTGGGCTGTGAGGAGGCAGCGCTTCACTGCCTCACGCGGCCCTCCTTAGCTAGCATAACTGCTTCGCAAAAGGAGGAACGGCATCCTCGTCTTCCTCGCTCCGCATCATGGCCCGGACTAGGGCCGGACACCAGAGGTCGCTGTTGCCGATCACATCTCTGAGGGCACGGCGGCGCTCAGCCCACGCAAGGCATGCCCCTATCGTGTATTCCACAGAGTCCTCAAGGCTGTCCTCGCAGTGATGACATCCGGGCGTTTCCTTATCGCCTTATCTGACACAGGTACCTCCCGATGCTCCCATGTCCGGTAAGCACCTGAATAAGGTGGGGCCGCCATTGTGTCTTTCAAGTCACTCTGCAAAGAGTAGTAGTGAGTCCCCACTTACCGGTACAATTTTGAGGTGAAGCTTTGTTAACTGCTAGTTTGTTGACTGAATGTGCATTTGTCAAAATACGAGTACTATGGGAACTATACGGGCTTTTTTTAAATGGGACAAGCCCGCCACAACCTCCCAAAACCGCTGCAACTCCTGTAAGCCAGGATCTACAGTAGATACAACCATGAAAACACCGGAACACTGAAGTCCGGCGCGTCCCAGGGACATGAGTAACTGTCTTGGTTCCCGCAACGAAGTGAATCAGAAGATATTATAAGAG